CTTCTCGCTTGGCCTTTATACCACAAACTCCTCCAACATGTGGTGCGTCTCTCTCTCTCTCTAGCCTCATTTCCTTGTCACTAGGCCTAATCTTGTTATCAACAGGGATGAAGCTCTTATTCTTACTCCCATATGCTTGTGATTATATGTAGTGAAGCCCGAGATCTCAGAAGTGACACTGTCTGGGGGCAGTCGTAGATTCTTTCCATGTATATATATAGTTCTGGCCCGAAGCAATATATCCACTTGCTCTTGCTCTTGCGTGTGCAGTTTCATATAGTCCGAAAATGTATCGTAGAGACCAAAGACGAAGAGCGTGGATCTGACACCGAGCCTATCAGAATCCGTCCAAGCTAGGTGGATTTTCACCCAAAATTTGAACGAAAACTTCGGGTGAAAACGAAAACAAAGGTTGGGAATTTCACCCAAAGTTTTCACCCAAAGATCAGGTGAAGCCTATATCCGTCACCCGAGGATTGGGTGAAAATCCTGCATGTCTTTGGGTGAAACATCTGGGTGAAATTCACCCGATGCGTACCCCCCAGTGCACGGCAGGGTCCGGTAAGCTCACGGGAGCTCATATCGTCGTCGCGTCGCGTGGGGATTGCGATTTGTCTTTCTTGACGATGATGATGTCCTGTGAAGTTAGAGGATGGTGAAGGTGGCGGAGGCAGATCATTCGGAGGCAAACGATATTGAATGTTGAACGTTCCGTCTAGGCAATTTGTTATGAATATCTTAGCGGTCGCAACTATTACTGCCAGCCCTGCCCGACCCATTGAACCATGCTGAACCCGAGGAAGACACGCGAAGAGGACGCGGAGCGGGACTCGGAAAATATTCAGGTGGGAAGGATATTGCAGGGAAGTCTACGGGCTTTCGCACAGCCGTCGGAGAAACCATGAAAAACGCAGCACTTGCGGACTCAGGCTGGTGGCTGATGGTCGAGGAAGTACAAGGTGAGTGCAAGTACTTGCTCGCGTATGTGTGTCGTGGAAGGACACACAGCCCGAGTGAGTTAGATTGCGACCTTCGGAACATGCGGACGAGATGAGTTGAGCGGGGACGAGGACGTTGGTTTCGGTTGTGGCACTGCAAGTACCTGTTGTGGCGGACAGTGGGAACGCCGCAACGAAAAAAATAGACAGAAAGTTACCACTCCAGCACTTTCGTCAGCCACTATCCACTGTGGTCGTTCAATGAACTGTTTACACACCGTTTGGAACATCGAGGACGTCAGTCCTCTCCTTATCGTGAATTACGCATACGAAGGTGCCCAAATTACAACCTTTTGCCTGCGAAGACTGTCGACATGTCAGAGAAACTCGAACGTACGACACTCCATGACGGCAAAGGAAGCGGAGGTCCCCGATGTGGAGACAAAAGGGTCATAGAGCGAGGCGCGGCAGCCTATCTGAAAATCAGAAAGAATGACCGTTCAGTAGCATCTTGAAGACAAGGTTCCAGGGAAACGACGACGGACTTAGAAACCTCAGCTTATGCATCTTGAGCGAAAGTCAAGGGAGACGAATGATATTGGCCACTTAATCGCACACGAGAAGACGCACAAACACGAGAGACACCAGTATCCCTGGATAGATGAGACCAGAGGACGACACATGCCCGAAATTCAAGCTCCGATCCACCACTCCATACCATACCATACCCCTATTCAAGGTTGAAGCCCGCAGATCATCTTTTCTGAGCCATCGAAGTCCGACGTTCGACAGTCTACTGGCATAGCCGCGTCGAGACTCGGAATCAGTAATCAGTACTCAGTGCGCTCTTCGAGGCCTGCTAAGCAAAGTAAGCAGAGGGCAGAGGAAGTACCTCGAAAGTCCGCATAGAACTAGGGTGGGAGGATGGGTGGCGTGGTGGTGGTACTACTGCTGGTGGAAGTGATGATGGTGGAGGTGCTGGCGAAAGAACGTCGATAATCGATCGGTCCAGACGTAGAATGCAGGTTACAGCTCGAGTGCACGAATGCTGACGCGTCCACTGTACATAGCCGACTAGAGCTTGCGATGAGAAAGTACAATGCGTGCGTGCAGGTACAGTCCGATGGAAGCAGAGGGATCCTACTTAGAGAACCTGAGCGCCAGTGGTTCGAGGTTGCGACAATAGCAATAGCAAAGGCCTAGGCAGTCGAGGAAGGAAACGAACGAAAACGAGACAAAGCAACTGGTCATGGAGAAGTAGGGACTCGGATGTAGCAGTAGCAAGGTGGCGAGGATCGCTTGTTCAAAAAGCCATCAAATGGAACAGCACCCCAGTACCCCAGGAATGTAGGCACTTAGCGGTGCAAGGCCCAGTTCCTCACCTCCCTCTGACTTGCATCTACAAATATATCTGTATCGCAGTAGTACACGCAGTAGGAAGGAAACAAAAAGCCTGAGGGAAAAAGGCGTGTAGAGGCCGCGTGAGTGACGCGAAGCGAAGCGACTCTGTGGATAGCTGTTGAGCGATGAGCGATGTCGAGATTAGCCTATGTAGGAAAAGCGAGTGAACATACGAACGAGAAGCATCAATGCAAACAAAAGAAGATATAATCCATACCCTTTCTTCACCAAAAAACGCCACAAAATCCTCACTGCAGCCCTCCCTCTCCAAAATCCCTCTCTTAGACTCCATCGCAGCCACTGCGCCAACACCAAAAAAAACCCACCAAAAAGGATGCACTCAGCACAAGCCGGCCCGACGGAACTCGCGGGCCTGGTCCCCCGATCACATCACGTGCTTGTGCAGAACGAACGCGTGATCTTGGCGCGTCAATTGCGTTTTCGACGTTCCAAAATCGGACGACGCGACCTGCGCAGGGCTGCGATCTGAGACCGGAAGTAAAACACGGAAAAAACAGGGAAAAAAGGAAAAAAGAACAAGAAAGAAAAAAGAGAGAAAATAAATTTCCTGAAGCGCGTCCGCGATTTTCCGCGCCACCTCACATCCATGGGCCATGGCTGGGAACCGATAACAAAGTACAGTAGTATGTAGCTCGGAAGGGAAGTCAAAGCACCTATGTCGCAAAACTTGCATCTGGCTGGTCTTGCATGATGTTGCCAAACCATGCCTGAACATCCCCGCCAGGGAAACAGAGCCTGATCAGGGTTCCCGAGCTTTAGAAAGGGGATGAGCGGGCTGGTCAGGCCAATCAGGCCTGATCAGCCTGACGGACCTGCACAGGCGTTATACGGCGTGTTGCGGGCTGAGCAGTCCTGACGACGATATATAGGAATAATAGAAAAAGGATGTTTCATCTTTTTGTACCTCTCCTTGTACCCCTCTGTAGTATCCTTTTCTTACTCATGTAGTGCTCTTACCTTTATTCCTTACTTTCCTTACGAATTGTACTCGCTAGAAGTCTCTTATAGACCACAAGTATCAGGCCAGCGAGGGATTCGAACACCCGACTTGTGTTATGCTGCTCACGTCCTTG